GAAGAAGAAACCCCCCCTAAAATCAAGCTTTCTACCCGAACTCATGGACGGAATCGAAAAAAACTCACTGTGAAATTCCCAAAATGCCCCTAGATCAGAACTGGATAAGAGGGCAAAAAGCTGCTACAAGATCTGTCTACATCTGAGATCAAAAACGGGCAAGAAGATGAATTTTTCTGGAAAAACACAAAGAAGAAACCCCCCTCAAAATTGAGTTTTCTATGTGAGAATTTAAAAAAAAATGCAATGTAGAATGCCCGAAATGCCCCTCCATGAAATCTGGTCATGGAAGTCCAAAAGGCTGCTAAAAAAAAAAAAACAGAAAGCTGAACTTTGTGATATATTTCTGATACCAAGACGATGTTTTCTAAAAAAAAACGAAAAAGAAACCCCCCCTAAAATCACGTTTTCTAAGCGACCATGTGAAGACCGGAATTATGTAAGAAAAGTGCAAAATGAATCCCTATGAGGCTCAAATTGCCAATGAAGAGGTTTTACCTGGAAACGACTATGCACACAAATGTAACTTACCTATTTGGACGCGTTACAATGGTCCATGGCTTAAAAATACTACCGATGCAAAATCCAACCCCCCAACGGCCGAAAAGGCAAAAATGGACTTGAAATGAAAAACATAAAAGCCAAATTGACAAATAATTTCAAATTACCATTTGGCCCTTCGCCACACTTCAAACATGATTTATGAGACCCTATGAAAGAATGAAAATGGAATTCCCACACCTGATGCAAAAGTTATGACATAATATCTCATGAATTTTCAATATTTCCATAATGAAGTTTATAAGTAAAAGTGCATAACATACATAATATATGATATTGGCCTCCAGCCTCATTACATACACATCAAAAGAGTGTCAAAAGGTGCACTTAAGTGCACATTACATGGCTTAAACAATAAGTACAAGTTTTGTCAAAATAAACAGAAGTAAACATGATATGCTACCATGTGCATATTCAATGTCATCAAAAATACTTCAAGACTTCTAGCATGTCTAAGAGTGTTGTGTATCCCACAACAAAGCTTCTTTACCTGCAAAACACCCAGTAACTTCGGGGTGAATAAACAAGTCTAACAAGTTTATTCGTAGGGGACGAGCATGCATAACTCGATTTCTTTAAGATTTTTAGACAACATGAATCATTTCAAAAAGGGATCATGTCACCTAACGTCTATGTCAAAGATTAGACTCAAGGATCATCCTAAGTTATCTTAGATCATTTCTAGCATAAATCGCATCATCTATACAATTCAAACAATATGGAAGCATGTTATACAAAACAACAAGATAAAGGTTCATAAAGGTATCAACTTGCAATCTAGAATATAGAAACAACTAAAGTGATCATGCCACCTAACCTTTATGTTCTAAATAAGTCTAAGGAATCATCCTAGACCATGTTGAACAATCAAAACACAAATTACAATTTCAATGCAATCTAGCCACATAAAAACATGTTATACAAGGCAACAAAATACAAATTCTTAAAGTTATCAGCTTGAAATCTAAAGCACGAAGACAACAGAAGTGGGTCATGCCACCTAACGTCTATGTTCCAATTGAATCTATAGGAACATTCCTAAACTACATTAGAACATCAAAACATAAATCATAATATTGATGCCATCTAACCAACATTAGAACTTTTAATACAACGTTTAAAGCATGGTTTCTCAAAGTAAACATCCTGAAACTTAAAACGAGAAAACAAGTAAGAAACAACAAGTCATAACATCATCTAGTTATCAACTTGAAATGAAATGCGAAATCAAATAAAGTGGATACTTGGACGTCACGCCGGATCAAACTGACAATGTGGTTACTTTAGGGTTACAAGCCCATGGGTAACCTCCCTATATGTGCACTAGATTATATAGAGGGACTATCCCTCGTACTAGAACCACGTCCTAGCCGTAGCCAAACAACGACATCCCTAAGTTTCCAAAATCAATAAATTGTGCAACAACATATATATCAGCATGTATATATAAGATAATCAACTATCTACTATGCACAACCAAATTTGGAAACCTATATAATACATGCTCTAAGTCTACAACTAATATGATATGATGAATGTCGAATCTTCAGTGTGCGATTCGTTACACGCTATGCATGAAAGATGATAAATACAAAATGTGCAAATCATTACACAAGATAACAATATATTCAATAAGGAAAACATATTCTCATGAGTATAAACATAGCAACTATGTTATCCAATGCTCAAAACATAACTAAATGAATATACAACAAGTCCATGTCTAGGATTTTGATATAGAAATGACTTTCAAACACAATTAAATCCATGGCTCAATTAGATAGAATTTAATTAAATAAAAATAATTAAATTCCCTAGATTCTAATTCAATTCCAAATAACCTCAAATTAATACATATTAAAGAACATGGCATGGTCATTACCTATATCCATTCTAAAACTTAATTAGGTTATTAGAACAACAAAGTAGAACTCTAATTAAATCATGCTAATTTAATTACCAAGGTTCTAAAGCAACTTCAAATGGTCCACAATCAATATATATTAGTAAATAAATCATGGCCAATACAAATATCAAGTTAAAATCTTAATTAAGTTAATGGGACCATAAAATAGATTTTAATTAATTCTTTTAATTAAAATTTCTAGATTTTTAAATTTAAGCAAATACTCTCAATTTAACATATCTTAGAGAACATGCCAAGAACTAATGTAATATCACATTACAAGTTTATTTAATTCAATTTACGACCATGTGAATTAAACTTTCACTAAAGTTAAATATAAAATAAAAGTTGCAATTCTCATGCAATTAATCCCAATTTAATACATGTGAACAACCATACCAAAGCCTAATTTTCTAGCATGCCACAATTCAATTCCAAGTTGTATATCACCATGGGGATTAAATCTTAAACAAGGAAATTAATTAAAAGAAAGGTTTCAAAACCTTACCGAATATTCTAAATCAAATATATGTGAAGCTATATGGCATGTAGATCAAGAATATCAAGTCGTAATTCAAATGGAGTAAATAGTGCACTCGGGGCAAATTATTTAATCAAGTTAATTAATAATTACTAATTTTCAAAACACCTCCAATTACTTTCAAATTCAACTATGTTGAAGAGCATACTAAGGTCAAATCTAGAACAAAGTGCTTTCTAGAACTCTCCAAATCTTGTTCTATTGGTCTTTCCTGCCCAATCGTCTCCGCACGGCACTCTAAAGTAGTGCATGTTGGTTGAGCAAGAATACTGTAACTAGGAAGAGGAAGAATGGAATTGAAGGCATAGTCTCAATAGTTACCAACAAATTGATTTTGGGTTCCTGGTACTACGATATTCATATATAGAAAAGTCGAATTTATAACTATGTAGATGGTAGAGTTATACTCACACATTTTCCAAAAATAGAAAAAACTGGACATTTATTTTAACACAACCAAAAATAGAAAATTAGACTTTATTTATTTATTTATTTTTGGAGGGAGCAAGTATTTTCAAATTTATTTCATTTAATTCATTGTATATTTATGAAGATTTTAAAGTGTTTGACTTTACTACTATAACATCTTAAACATGATGTAATTCCGACCACCTCATTACTCCTCGTTCTATAAAGAATGTTTATTTATTTATTTTTTTTAAAAAAAGTGTTAGAAATTAGATTAGTAGATATAGAGAGTCAAAACATGACACCCTAAATTCTACAAGAGGCATCAAGGCATTTGCAAAGAATGTTCATTTGTGAACCTGACTTTTTAAAGAGCATGATTTTTAATATATCTTCATTGCATTGGTAATAAATAAATTAAAAAATTTATTTATATTAAATACACATGAATGTGATAAATATTAAATACACATGAATGTGATAGTTTACTTTTTTATAAGCCAAGATTAAATTGGTAAAAAAAAAAAAAAAAGAGAGGGTATTTTCACTTTTCAATTGGGACTTTCATTTTGGGATAGCAAAAATGAGAATTTGGACAAATTTATTTATTTAGTTAATTTTTTTTTTTTTTTTTTTTTTTTTTTGGGGACCGAGAGAGTTATTTTAAACATAATATGTGTGTGTCCAACTTGGTTTTTCATTATAACTAGACACGGTGCCCAATGATATTAATTTCATACTTATCAATGGGCTAGATAGCAGACCAGGCGCTGCAGGCCTCTACTTGTCAGCGTTGAAACTCCTTGAGATTACCAATTAAGAAAATAAAAAATAATAATAATTATTACATAGTCCATTATTAGTTTATTAAGTGCAAAGCAGGAGCTATTAACATTTACAACGCAACCATGAAGCAATTAACATTCATCAAGTTCCAATTTAGGTTTCTAATTTTAATATCTCACTTTTTTCGCTTGCAGAGTATTTTTTTTTCCTTTTATTTTTATTTTTTATTTTTTATTTTTTGGGAAGTTCAAGACACACAGACTCACAATATTGTCTCCGAGTTCGAACATTCAATCTCCCTTTTAAATGAAGAGGGATCATACCATCCAGGACCTTGCAGAGTTTGATTAACTCAACAATGTGTTAGAAAATGACTAATTTTATGCAATTGTTTTAGGTGGTTACATAAACAGAGTAGGGTGAAAGCTGAACCAGAGACTTGGCAATCTCTCTTCCAGACTTCTTTGAGGATCATGAATAGGATGTGTGATCATGTGTAGATGTTTAACCGTCCAATGCATTATAATACTCTTATTGCATCGAAGAGATCCTGACTCATTACATATATAGGAACAATTATCTCCCAAATAATTAAATATTTTGGATTATATATATTTCTGCATTAATACAGGTACATATTTCTAGATATTCTTTATTTTCATGACTTTCAATTAGTGAAAATTAAAGATAGGACAGAGATTTGCATCCTTAATGATGCACAGCCCATATAATTATATAACACATGCGCTTGTTATGCTTCTGGTTTAGTTACTAAAGAACTAACACAGGAACACACATTCAATTGTATTTATAAGCAATCTGCTGCATAGTGATGTAAAGCTCTATGGGTTTCGAAATCATGACCATATGATCAGATCCAGCTATGAACTTCACATCTTTAGGAGGGCTATTCTGAATCATATATTTCTGGAAATCAACTGGAATGATTTGATCATCTCCACTTATTATAAAAACCCGACTGACCGATCCGTATTTATTTTCCGTGAGCAGAGGCTTGCTCAAGTCATTCAAGTAAAATCCAGTTGGCCTCACCAACATTTTATCTAATTCAGCGTCCTGCATGCAAAGATAGATTAATAGAGACATCAAGAAAAACAAGAGCTAGCTCTTTTTATGGATTTATTCGTATGAAATTGCTTGAGATCGAACCTAACCTTCGTTGGAGAGTCATTATAAAGCTTAGTTGCAATCAATTGTGGACCAAAGAGTACAGATACTGGCTGTTTATTTGAATCATATACAATTATGGAATCCAAGAAAACGTCTGGTGAGCTCCTCTTGAAATACTGATCAAAACAAAATCCACAAAAAAACCAAATGTATTAAGAGAGAAAAATAAAACTCAAATTCAATAATAAACGAAATATATGGATATAAGAATTTTCCAAGGCTTGACACCGTGCAAAGTGTCCCCTCTGCACAGGTCGGTAAAGTTCAGACTTTCACCGCTAGATATGGCCTTACAGAATTATTTGCACTCAATTATGTGAATAATATTTAAGCCTTATAGAGATTTACTTCTTGTACGAGGGCAACTGGTGGATCTCTATAATTCGGCATTAAGGCAGTGAGAAAAACTGCAACAAAGATCTTCTCGGGAAAGCGCTCCATGGCTAGAGAAATGCAAAGGCCACCAAAACTATGACCAACTAGGACCACCTTCTCCTCATGAGGCAGGGAGGCCATGAAGTCCGTCAATGGTTGCACATACTCGAAAAATGAGGCGACCTCATTGAGCCTCCTCGGGTTCACCCCATTTGCGGCAAGGTCCAAGGCTGTGACACGGTGACCAGCGGATTTGAGCAGGGTGACAAGCTTGTACCAGCACCATGCTCCAAGGTTAGACCCGTGAACTAGAACAAAGTGCTTGCCAGTACTCTCCATTTCTTGTTCTATTGGTTGTGTGCTTTGTTTACTAGGGACCTATATTTTTATATGCTATGTTTTGAGTAGAAATTATTGAACTGAATCACGTGATTCAAGACAATCTAATAATTTATAGGTCTCGAGAGGAACATGTAAGGAAACGAAATTTGTATGTTCCTTCAGACCGCTCCATAAAATAGAGGGCGGGACATTGGCCAATCTACTAGAGTCGGTTACAGAAATATTTGAAGTTGGAATGAATTTGCATGTTAGGGCTTGAAAAAAATGGCTCAAAATAAGCTGGAGTTGACACTTGGCAATCTCTCTTTCAGATTTCTTTGAGCATCATGGAAAACGCTTGATAAAGAGCTAGAAGCCAGCATTCTTCTCGTGAAGAGGGCATGACAAGTCCCACTTCTTAGAAGCATTTTTCAAATACACAACGGATGTAGAGGCCGAATGGTACTTTCTGCTTTTAACCGCTAAATTCTTTTTTATATTTTTACTTTAGTTTTCATAACCCGTTTCAATGTAATATACGCTTTTGCAAGGGATTATTACAAATACATGGTGTTATGTAACCCATTTCATTATTTGATGACGTTGAAGTCGTGATGTTTTTAAAAAAATAAAGTTAGCCAAAGTATTGATTTGAAAATGGAAAAATACTATACATTTGTCCAAACTACTCTTACTATTAATTTCATGTATCACTTTTGTGCATTTTTATGCATGTAGGTACAATTATTACTATTATTATTTTTGTTTGTTTGCATGGACCATATCATCATGTACCACTTTTGTGCATTTTTATGCATGTAGGTACAACTATTATTATTATTGTTATTATTATTTTTGTTTGTTTGCATGGACCATGTCATCAGATACCACTCACTTCGTCTACACAAAAAAGTTATTAATTATATCCGTGCACAAAAAGTGATATTTGAAAATAGTAAAAGTAGTTTGAACAACGAACATTATTTTTTTATATCCACATCAGCATTTTGATCAACTTCATTTTCTCAAAAGTTCATGATTTTGACTCCACTTAATGATAAATATGGATCCATAAGTCCATGTATATGTAATAATCCCTATAAAATAAGATAGCACTAAAATAATTGTAATAATAATAATAAATAAATAATGATGTGGAAGAGAAGAAAACAGAGAAGAGTAAGTGATGGCAGTACACTGGAATGAGTAGAATCGAAGAAGTTTCCAATGGAATCATCTTTCTGGTTCTTCCATTTTAATTTGTAGAACAGGGCATCCGAGCCTATTGCAAAATTTTATTTTCTACAACAGGCCGACACAAACTATAAAAAGGTAACTTTTTACGTTAGGAATGCATGCCTGCCCTAAAAAGTCGACAGCATAAAATTAAGGGTCTGCTTAGTTTGTCATTCCGAAAAATAATTTTCTGTTTTTTATATATATAAAAAAAACCAGAAAATTGTATAAAAAGTAGCTTAGTTTAATTTTCTAAAAATCTAGTTATAAAAGGGCATGTTTTCATATAATTGTCTTCTATAATTATCTGAAAATATTTTTCTATTTTCGAACTTATTGAGAACCGTTTTCTAAGTGACAAACTAAGCAAATATTTATTTATTTTTTTTTTTTTCTTGCAGCGTATTAGTGTGTATTTCTGTGATGCAGTTACATGTATCCTTTATTTAATTTCATGACAGATAAAGAGCAAAAATCAAAGAAAATACCGTTCACCCTAAGCTTTTCAACTTTAGTTGACCTATGTGGTTGGACTTCTGGCTCCTTAATGGCCCAATTGTCACTCAGCTTGGGATTTGTGAGTTGAAAATTCTTCAACTGAATACATCAGTCTCAATGTTAGCCTAATTTTCTTATTATTCCAATCTCTAGACTTCTTATCCCAGCTTTATAGTATATCCCCACCAACTGATTCACAGGATACAATTGAATGGTTACCAAGTTCTACTTTGGTCTTCTCAATGGCACATACCATGAGAAATTTTACACCTCCTTCAATCATTTTTCCATGGCATCATTTACTTTGGTTCAAGCATCATATTCCAAAACATGGGTCCAGTGCCTGGTTAACAGTTAGAAATAGAAGCTATACACTTGACTCGAAACCTATGTCGTACAAGCATTACACAAATGCATACTACCTTAGTAGCTCATAGTAGAGTATTGATCGCTTATTCTTCAACTGCAAGTACAGCTCTCACATTTGGAGGTTTATCCAAGAAGTTGCAGGGTTCACCTTTCATGCCAATTCATGATCTGATTTGATTGCTTGGTGCTCCACTCACCGGCTTCCATCCACATTCATTGTACATAGTTATTGCTATCTGTTACTGACTATTTTCTTTGGATGGAAAGAAATTTTAGAGCATTCATAAACAAGTCTTGTTCCCCACATCACATCGTTACTCAGATCGATTAAATCTTCCATTTGAGCAAGACTTGCATCTATCACCCTAAGAAGTGGTTCAGACCTTAGTCAAGTTTTATCCTTCGATGACCTACAAAATCTCTATCCAAAGGGCTACTCCAATGCAGGTGACCAGACCTGGCTCATCGCCTAGTTAAAGTTGTTTTCTTGTTGTGGTTCATGGTTCCCATTTACTTGCTCAGGCTTATGATGTAAAGCATTTTGTGTTCTACTCCTGCCTCTTGCAGTTTGTTGTTGTGTCCTTTTTGGACCTCTTAGTACATTCTTTTCTCTTTTTATTATATACAAGCTTATTGTTGAACATGTGGCTCAATTTGAGGCTTGCATCACCCATGACATCATCTTCTTGGCCTCCAAGTATATGTGTTCATTAAGTTTTATTCTTGGCCTCCAAGAATGTGTGCCCAGCAAGTCTTTTGAGTGGTCACCAAGTAGCCTCATTTTGGTGTCCCATTTTGGTTATAAATAGCCTTGCCCTCCATGGTGTTGAAGCATCCCAAATCAATTGAGTGAGTTTGTAATATCAGTTAGTGGGTGAGAGAGTTTGGGTGTAATTGTGTTTTGGGTGTGAGCCATTTTGCCTTGTATCTCTTTTTTTCCATAGTGAAATATTGTTCTGTCTTCTCCCCATGGATATAGGCATATCCGAACCACGTAAATCCTTGTTTCATTTGTGTGTGCCATTTTAATTTCTTGTCATTATTTTTCTCTTTGTTCTCATAAACTCATATTCGATCCTTTTTTTCATAACAAACTAGTATCAGAGCTTGGGTTCGTGTATTGTGTATAGATACTGTTCATACATAGTTCACAGATACTATTCAGGTAATGGGAACTCTATCTTCATAGCTGTCCGGACTGCATATGGAAAGTACTTCTCATCGAAGCGAGCACTGAACTGATCATAAGTCAATAAAGTCCTCTCCTCCGCAGAAGTAATTGACTCCCACCACTGGAGTGCATCCTCGACAAGCTTGAAAGTAACAAGCATCTGTTTCTGAACCTCTGTGCACTTAACCATTCGAAGATATTGCTCGACGTCCTTCTTCCACTGGTGAGCTACTTTCGCATCGGTGGAGCCTGAAAACTCAGGTGGGCTTCCTTTTGTGAAAGAACTCCTAACCTTTTCCCAAGGATCAGTCTGAACCACTGGTGTTGGTATAGGTGCTTACTGAAACTATGGCTGATTACGAAGTGCAGTTGTTATACCTGCTTCTATAGCCCGAGCAATGAGATCATTTATATGGGGAGGAAACTCTGGATCCCTGCCCTGATTGTAGCCCCGATCTTGAGACTCTTGAGTAGTCTACTGTACTTCCTCTTGCTTATTGTTCCACTGACCATCTTCTTCCAGAAACCCAAGCAGTTGTTGTTCTTCCTCCATTTGCTGACGCCGTAGGAAATCCTACTGCCTACGTGCCGCTCCTCTTCGCTGCTTGTTTCTTTGATTGTCCCGTCTTCTTCTAGTGTTAACTATGCTGTTAACATAGAAGCATAGACATCAGTACGATTTAAGTGGACCGTAAAAGAAAACAATCAATCCTAAACTTAGGCTCTAAATAAAAGAATACGTTACGCGGAAGTCTTAGAACAATAGATCCTTAGAGACACTTGAACCTGGAGTGCTCTGATACCAACTGTGATACCCTTTGATTCTAGAGCTAATGGTGATCAAATCCGAGCACAGAATACAAGGGATATCAAACAATTAATATTTAAACAAGAAGAATAAAAAAGAAATAAATAAATAATAAGCTGAAGAGAACTAAATAATAAATCCTTATTTTAAAATCCTCAAATAAATAATAATTAAAAATCCCATAATAGAATCCTTCAATCCTCTGATACCAGTAGTTAATTAAACTACAACTCGGGAATCCATACTGTGGACCCCTAATAATATCTAACTAAAATAACTGAACTGAAATAAATTCAATAAGTAAAATATGGAGAAGAGTCCTACGTAGAGTCGAAAGAGTGAATGACTATCGCTGCTCCGCACGAACAATCTCTAAGACTGGAACTGACGAACACCTGAAAAATAATGGTGGGTCAGGCCCACAAACAAGTTCTAATCTACTACATCCCAAACAGAGACCCGATACACATACACATCATAATTAATTCAACAAAAACTAAATAGTCCATATATAGATATATACACACTAAAGGAACCTCACTAGACTATAGAGTTATCTCAACCTGAATAGTAGGTAACATGCAAAACGCACATATAGTGGGCATGAGTACCTAGACCTACCAGGGTACACAACTACACCATATCTAGTTACACATCCCTGGCAATATACCACTAATCCTGAGACTTAAGCTCATATCATGGCGTATAATTATATATATAAAATCCGTCCACTCCAACCATAAAAAAAAACTATCCAAATATTATTGTAATAATATGTAATCCAACTATTCCGTTGACCTGACACGAATAAGTAGGACTTAACACTGTGGTTAATCCGTTCCCTTATTAAAAAATAGGTAGGACTTAACTCTTAAGTTAGTCCATCCCAAATATGCCCCCATCCCATAATGGTGCTTTAATCCACAGCATAACCAAATAGAAGTTTCCAATCCAAGGATAATGTAAATAATATTTACATATAAACATTATATTAATCATATACACATCCTTTGCATTTACTTGAGCAAAAAGATCAATTCTAGGTAGCATGCATTTAATTTACATCACAAACAATTAAAATACATCTCAACTAAATTGTACATCTCCATGTTCTGATTAAATTAATTTAAATCTCAGCGAGTGACTAAAATAATTTAATCCAACAATATCTAATTAATTTATCCTTTTAAAATTAATTAAATTCCATACTTAGTATGTAAACTTAAATCATACATACCAATTCTTAATGAGTCCATTTAAATTAAATAAATATTTAATTCAAATCCATCAATCAAAACTAACAAATATTAATTTAATATTCTAACATTAAATAGATTAATATTAAAAATATTAATTGCAAAAACTATTTAATCAGAACAAAATAAATAAATCCTTATATTAATCATAATACCAATCATTATATTAATTATTATATCCATAATAGTTCCAATCATTATATCAACCATGGCATTATATAACAATCTGTTTTTTTTTTTCTTTAAAGGAATTGTTAATAACTTCCTCGATCGGAGTGCCCAATGAAAGAAAACAAATTCCAAACCTAGTTTTATGAATTGCTACAATTAGATTCATGCCACTTTCTAGCTTGCCTCGTTGGGCGTGCCTAGCTTGTAAAAATACTAATTTTGACTTTACTCACATGCATACAAATTAATGCATGGAAAAATAAAATAAATAAAATTAAAACCAAATTTAATTCATGCTAACATAAGTCATGAAAAAAAAAATTAAATTAAATTAAACCCAAGGCCACCAACAGTGTAGGCAAAAGAATAATAATTAAAACCCATTATTAAAACCCATGAACTGAAATTTCAAAATAAATCTATGTAATTAGATCCAATTAATTTATTTAAAGAATCTAGAATTAATCTAGCATACATAGAGTATGAATCAAAGGAGAAGAGAATAATTAAAACTTGCCTTTAGGGATTTGATAAAAACCCTAACCTCCTTCTTCCTTTTTCTCTTTCTTCTACATTCTTCTTTCTCTCTCTAAAATATACTTCGTGATTTATTTTCTAACCCCTTTTACAACCCTATAGTTATATATTTATAGGCAACTAAAATAACCCTAATCCTTTTCCCAATCCAAGTCAAACTAATAAAATAAAACAAAATAAAATTTAAATACTAAAAAGGTAACTAAAATATATTTTATTCTTTTTATATATAGTATATAAATATATGTCAGATTATTACTAAAGGACTTTCCTTATACGTATATATTTATTTATTTATTATATATACATATACAACTATCTATGGGTAATTATCCGTACCCGTTAAACCCTTTATCCAAGGAATCCATAAGGCCCAATTAATTGGTCCATTACTACTATCCATATCCAATTCCTTAAAAAATATATAAAAATAAAAGTAAAACAAAACAATTGAATTCCTAAACAAAAACACATCATCACATACAATTTTTATTTAAATAAAGAAATCAAATACACGTTTTAGCACACAATTTTATTTAAACAAATAATTCAATTAACACATAAATAATTAAACCAATTAAACAAGTAAACAATTAGCCAAGAAAACAAATAAATAATTAAAATGAAATTAAAATAATTAAAACAATACCGATACTATCCTTTTGAAATTAGGGGCATTACAAGTGGTGATGACTCACAAGTTGAACCAGCCAATCAAGAATCGGGTGAATTGGATTCGAGTGGTATAAGTTTGGATCAAAGTGGTGATGAACGCCCATAAATGGAAAGTATGGTGCCAACCCCACTATCGTTCGAGTTTGAGTCCCTCGCAAATGATATATCAAACCAATCGCCTGTTTAGGATGTTCCTGATTTAGTGTCTGAGCCACTCCGAAAACAATTACCACAGCGTCACACTAGAGGTATTCCCAAACCCACATATGAACCTGAACTTTCTAGTAAAGTAAAATATCCCATGAGTCATTATGTGTCGAACCATTGTTTGTCAGAATCAAATTTGTCATTTGTACATCAATTATCTACTGTATTTATTCCTAACAGTGTGCAGGAAGCCTTAGCTGATCCTAAGTGGAAAGCAGCTATGAAAGAGGAAATGCAATCCTTACAGAAAAATAAAACTTGGGAACTCATTGATCTTCCTCCAAGAAAGAAACCAGTAGGATGTCGATGGATTTACACTGTGAAGTATAAAGCTGATGGATTTACACTGTTGAACGCTTTAAAGCAAGGTTGGTGGCAAAAGGTTACACCCAAACCTATTGAATCGATCACATAGAGATGTTCGCATTTGTAACCAAAATCAACACAGTTCAGGTCTTGTTGTCTTTAGCTTCGAACTTGGATTGGCCATTGCAACAATTCGATGTAAAGAATGTCTTTCTGTATGGTGAATTATCTGAAGAAGTCTACATGGATCTCCCACTAGGATGCATGATACCCGAAAAGTATAGTTGAAAGGTCTACAGGTTAAAGAAATCGTTATATGGGTTGAAACAATCTCCGAGAGCATGGTTTGGAAGATTCACAAAGTCAATGATAGCCTTTGGCTACCATCAGAGCAATTCAGACCACACATTATTCCTGAATAAATAACAGGGTAAGATCACTGCATTCATTATATATGTAGATGACATAGTGGTTACAGGGAATGATCCTGAAGAAATGAAGGCTCTCAAGAAGTACTTGTCCAATAAATTCGAAATGAAAGATCTAGGTCCTTTGAGATATTTTCTTGGGATCGGAGTGTCTCGATCTAATAAAGGAATCTTTTTATCTCAAAGAAAATATACCTTAGATCTATTACAAGAGACTGGCATGATAGTATGTCAACCAGCTGAGACACCAATGGAAGAAGGACTGAAGTTATGTGTTGAGTCCAACCAAGTACCTGCTAATAAAGGAAGATACCAAAGACTTGTAGGGATATTGATGTACTTATATAGCACACACGAGACCAAATCTAGCTTATGCATTGAGCATTGTTAGCTAGTTTATGCATGATCCTGGAGAGCAACATATGAATGCAGTTATGCGCCTTTTGAGGTATCTGAAATCTGTTCCTGGAAAGGAAATTTTGTTCACTAAAAATACTGGTTATCAAAACATAGATGCATATACTGATGCTGACTGGGCTGGAGCTATAGATGATAGGCGATCTACTTCTGGTTACTTCACTTTTGTAGGTGGTAATCTTGTTACATGGAGAAGCAATAAACAAAATGTTGTTGCTCGCTCAAGTGCAGAAGCTGAATTCAGAGGTATAGCGCTTGGACTTTGTGAAACTTTGTGGTTAAGACTTCTCTTGCGGGATTTGGGTTATCTACCGAGGCAACCGATTCAATTATATTATGACAATAAAGCAACATGTGATATTGCCCATAATCCAATTCAACATGATCGTACGATGCATGTCGAAATAGACAGATTCTTCATTAAGGAGAAGTTGGATGGAAAAATTGTGGAGTTGCCTAAGATTCGATCTGAAGATCAACTAGCCGACATTCTCACCAAAACAATCTCAACTCAAGTGTTTTCAAAAAATTTAGACAAGTTGGGCATGTGTGACATGCACCAACTTGAGGAGGAGTGTTGAGATTTTACCTCTGGTAATTCAGGATTATACAGCTGTAAATTGAATTATTTACTCCTTGATTTAGGGCTAATTGGTAGGTAATTTGTTTCCCGATTATTGTATAATTAGTTACCTATTTTAGCTAGGTATTATTCTATAAATTGAATGTAAAGCCATCATGAATAATATCGAATTGAGTTTTGATTCTCATATTCTGTCTCTGAATTTCAAGACAAAATGCCATTCCAACCATCAGGTTCGGTTTGGATTGAGGGATTTGGAGGGATAGTGACAAAAAAGAAAGAAAATGATAATATAAATTGTGTTTGGATTGTTTAAAATGAAATAAATGAAAGAATTGGAAGAGATAGCTATTCCTCCATATCCTTTTTATCATATCCTAAAAATGAGAAGATTGGGAGAAAAATGATAATGGGTTAAGTACTATTTTATAATTCCGAAATTGCCATGCCAAATTAAGGGTTTAATAAGGATGTGTTTCTGAAAATTCGTTTGTTCCTCTCTCCACACATGATACTCATAACCTGCCGAGGCAAGTTTCCATGTCATTACTCTGCTCCTTTTCAGTTTCCGCTTCCAATTTGAGGATTCCCATACCTGGAAATCCTTCCATGAGCTCGGATTAGTGTAGAAGCCATATTTTTGTTGTATACCACATTCCATATCACCCTTGTATAGGCACACCGGTGAAAGAGGTGTTCAAGATCGTCAGCTGAATTTAGGCATAGGGCACATACATTCCGTTACATTGTAAAATGCAAAGATGGCAAGTAAGGACCTTTTTGTTGTTCTTATCTAAATAAGATTTATAAATTTAAGATTAAAAAACACACTCACATGCTCAATCTCAGGTAGCATTAAAATATTTCACATTATATATTTTTCTGCAATTCGGTTACATTGCATTAAAATATTCCACATTATATATATTTCGTGAAAATCAAAGAGAACACATGATGGAACAGCGAACTATTTTGTCTGACCTTTTCGACTTATTTCATAACTTTATTTCATTACCTTTTATTTAGGCTATCTGTGCATGCGACTTAATGAAGCACAACCCATTCAGCCATATTTGTAAGCAATCTGCTGTAAAATGAGGTAAAGTTGTACGGGTTTCCAAGTCATGACCATATGATCAGATCCAGCTATGAACTTCACTTCTTTAGGAGGGTTATTCTCAATCATATATTTCTGGAAATCCACTGTAAGAGTTAGATCATCTCCACTTATTATAAAAACCCGAGTGACCGACCCGTATTTATTCTTTGTCAGCAGAGGCTTGCTCAAGTCATTCAAGTAAATCCCAGCTCGCCTCACCAAAGTTTTAGCTAATTCCTGGTCCTGCATGCAAAGATACATGAATAGGTATCAAGAAAAACTAGAGATAGCTACTTTTAGGGATTTATTAGCATGAAATTGCTCGAGTTCAAACCTCACCTTTCTTGGGGAGTCATTATAAACATTAGTTATAAGGAATTTTGGACCAAAGAGTAGGGAAACATGCAGATTATTCGAATCATATACAATTTCGGAATCCAAGAAAGACGAGATCGCGCTTTGAGACTGTTCTCCAAAACAGAAGCCATGGAAAAAAATTTAAAAATAAAAATAAAAAAGGAAAGAAATGTGTTAACATATGCATAGAGATTTTTTTTTTTTTTCTTTCTTTCGAAAAGTCAAGCAATTTTATAGAGATTCAATAATAAACAAAATAGATATAAGATTTGACATGTTTTAACAATTAATCCGCTATAAATTTTGTAAAATATGCTTTTTTTTTAATAAGATTTAACATTAATTAATTATAATAACCTGAAAAATGATTATTAATTCTTTTCTCTTTTTTTTTTCCAATCCCTTAATCTTTTCCACCAGTGTATTATATTTTGGACAATACTTACCTTCTCACCGGTGAGTAGGAAATATATATATACTTACTTTGATGTGATGCAAAATTAGTGAAACACGTGTCCCTACAATATAAAATAAAAAAAATTAAAAGATTTGGGAGGTTATCCTGATTAAACCCAATATGATCCAAATCTAACTCTCTTCTCTACACTCACGTTACTCTTTTTGTCTAGTGAGTAAATGAGAAGGGGATCTTGTTGAAAAATAAATAAATAAATAAAAAATTAAGCTAAAATTCTTAAATAAAATAATATTACAAGATACAAACAAAGCTTTGAATGATGAATAGAAAGAATAACTATAAATGTAGTTAATAACAATCTATTCTGTATCAAACCATGTGAACCAGATTTTATGTAATTTGGTGTACTTTAGATCAAAATAATTGATAAATATATATAAGGATTACACATTAAATCATAAAAGATAAAAGTCAAAACTTCCACTATTAGCATATTAGGGTTTAAGCGTAATAGTTTGAGAGAGAGAAAGAGAGGGAGAGTTAATTAAGAATTTGATTTGCATCCATTTGGATTGACCTGGTAAGTATTCAAATTTTTTAATTTTTAATTTTTCTATTTAGGGACACTTGTCACATTATTTTACGCCACATCAGGGGTAAGTATATACTTCCTACTCATCGGTGAGTAGGCAAGTATTGTCGGTTTGTTTTTATTTTTATTTTTTGTAAACCTATATTTTTCTCCCTTCCTATCTTATTTATTTATTTATTTAATGTCTCCCCTTTCTAAATCTCTTACACTCTTCTTCTCTACGACCTTTTTCTCTAGCTTATTTTTTTCAATCACACCATCTCCATGGGCCAAGTATTGGAAGACATAAAAAATGACAAGACAATTCTTTAAACTTCACAATTTACCTTTAACAAATCTGGTATTAATTTCAATGTAATTATTTTCTTTTGTTAAGATTTTTCTTATTAATATGTTTAATATTGGATAAAAATAAATAAAAATGAAAATTAAACTTATTAGATACTATTAGAAAATCTTCCATTCAAATTTTTAATTTTTATTAGATAGTTTACATCTCTAAAGATAAAAGGAATAATTTTTAAACAAGAATTATTCATATAATTTTATATGAATAGAATAAGTATCAAAAAGTGTATATATATATATATATATATATATATATATATATATTCCTTTCGTAAATCTCAAGTCATTAACAATAAACTTATATATAGACGAACTCTTATGAATCAAACTAATTTATAGGCTATAGGGTACAATTTCCTAAACAAAATACTGACTTTAAAATGAAAAACCAACAATATCTAAATTTTGAGATACAATTCTCAATAAATTGCATACATTTTCATGTTACAATTATGTTCAGAAATTTTAAGCTAATAGAGATTTTCTTACTTGTTGTAAAAGGGTAGCTGGTGGAGCACTGTAATTGGGCATGAAGGCGGTGAGGTAAACTGCAACGGAGATTTTCTCCGGGAAGCACTCCATGGCTTGAGAAATGGAAGAGCCACCATAACTGTGACCAACTAGGACCACCTTCTCCCCATTAGGCAGGGAGGCCATGAAGTTCATCATTGGTTGCGCATACTCAAAAAAGGAGGCGACCTCCTCGAATCACCTCGGGTCCCTCCCACTTGCGGCCAGATCCAAGGCTGTAACGTTGTGACCCGCGGATTTGAGTAGGGTTATAAGCTTGTACCAGGACCATGCTCCAAGGTTAGACCCATGAACTAGAACGAAGTGCTGCCTAGTACTCTCCAATTCTCGTTCTATTGGCCGTTCCGCTCCTCTCACCTCCGCACCGCACTCTAATATACAGGTTGGGTTGAGCAAGAATACTGCGAATAGTAAGACGAAGATCGGAATTGAATGCATTGTCTCACTAAAAATATTTGTTTTGCTTTTCAGTGACCAAGATTTATATATACTGAGGACAACCATCTTACGTTTTACCTATGACGGATACGTGGGCAACAATCTTACGTTTTACCTATGACGGATACGTGACCAAGATCTATTTACTTGTACAACGCCACGTAAATAGATCGGAATTGGACGGATACATGCACGTCCAAGTTCTAAAAAATAGATAAGACTCATTAAGTAGTCAATAACTCAATAATCCTTCTCGGAAATATAGAAGTCCATATACATGCATATTTCTTAATGATTTTCAAAGTGATATAAGATTGATTCTTATCCCCTCACTCTCTCACTTCTCCTCAGCCACCCGTCCCTCATCTCTCTCTCTCTCTATCTCTCTCTCTCTCCCCGGTTGGAGACTTGAGCAACCCTATTTAGGTGACAAGTGACACTACTTGCTAATATAATTTGAACACGACACGAGATAAACAAGTTTAAATAAATTTTAATCAGGTCGTAAATAAATTGATACGATTAACTCTATTAATGAATCATGTCAAAGTATGGTTAAGGAATTTTGTTAGAAAAGGAGTAAACAAATCAGAAACTTTACGCGAAATCTTGAATAGCACTCGCTAAGAATTTTTTGCGGATCTATAGACAAATACTTTCCTCTCTGCAAGGAAATAAATGTGGTATATTTACTTTCTAAAATCTGTTTCCGGGTGAATAAGAAATTAGCTCAAAAGTATAGTATTTTGATAAGCTTACACAAGTATGCAAAATGTGGGAATTGGTTGTCCATCATTGAATAAAAAGTGAAACTAATAAGAGTATATATAGCCCAAGTTTGTAATTTGGGTTTTAACTCAAGGGCACCCAAGTTTTTAAGATAAGAGGACCTAGGCAAGTTTGGGTCTAAACCATTTATCACACAAACGCGCACCCCGCCCGACATGGTTCAACCATAGGTTTAGTTGTAAAATCTGGATAATTTTTTATTAAACATAATTTTTGAACTGGACCTTGGCGTTTGGGCTTAATTTAATTTTATTGAGCTGGGCTTATTCTGGTAGGTTTAGCGAATGGTTATGTCTGATCCGAAGTGCATCCAAGGTTGCACCTGGTGTGAACCAGTGCATCCCAACATGAATAGGTGTTTTGGTGATGGTTCGGGCTGAACTATTGTGTCCAGTGGTGGTTCGGGTCAACCAAAAATGCACATGCATGCCTATAAATACCCCTTTGGTCATTTGCAAGTCACACCAAAACTTAGAAATTTTCTCTCTAGTTCTGAGTTTTCCTCTTTCTTTGCATACACATAGTGTTAGTATGTCAGTTTGAGTCTTGTTCAGAGAGAGAGTACTATACTGAGCCGTTCGCCCATTTCTTTTGTTTGCAGTGCTATTACATAAGAAAGAAAATTTGTTGTATCCTAGGATACAGACGCTACAAAGTCCGTCAACACCATAGCGGAACGAATATATCCTAAAGACATAGAATTAAATTCTAGCATCGGCCTATTATTAGGTTCATTTTATATATAGTTTATTATATTAGTTTATAATTGTATATGATATATAATATTATTATCACAGTATTATATATATATATATATATATATATATATATATATTTATTTATTTATTTATAACATTAAATTATATATAAATATAAGGTTAAAATCATAAAACCCTTATTACTTTCAAATTTTTATCATAAAATCCTAACCTGTTTCAGAAAACTCTTACACTTTTAAAAAGTGATCACATTGCTCTAATATTTGTATTCAACCCATTAACCGGGCTATGAAATGACAAAAATTAACCTTACTATTTAATGTTAAATTAAAAACTAAATTTTAAAAGAAAAAAAAAATACAAAAACACCCTTTAAAATTACAAAAATTATGTTTGAGTGAGAGAAAGTGGGTGAAGAAGAAGATTAAACGGTATTTTTATAATTTTAAGAAATTATTATTATTTTTTAATTTAACATTAAATTGTGAGGTTAAATTTGTTATTTCATAGCCCGGTTAATGAGTCGGACACGAATATTGGGCAGTGTGATCAATTTTTAAAAGTATATGAGTTTTTTAAAATAGGTTGGGGTTTTATGATCAAAATTTAAAAATAGTAGGGTTTTATGATTTTAACCTACAAATATATTACTCCTTAAGTGCCGATTCTTTTAAATAATGATAATATAGTATATCATACACATACACCTTAAACAACAAATCTAATCCGTTTAATCTCGTTTAACTATTGACAATTAGGCCATTTCCACGTAAATCCAAACAAATGCATTTCCTCCTTAAGTGCTAGTTCTTTTAGTATGATTTTTAAGTGATTAGACTTGTTTAAACATTTATAGTCAAGCAATTAACTTAACTAGGGGGTGTTTTATCGATGTTTTTCATCTTTCTTTGAATATTCGGGTTTGTCTTTTAATTTATTATTTTGTGGACTACTGACTAATAATTTGGTTGTATTGGTAAATAGGCTAACACGTGTAATCCATTTAAGCAACATGTCATGTTAGTGTTGAAGGTCCATGACATTATTATTAAACAAATCGTGTTCGGTTGACTTGTGTTAGCTTAATGTGCACAACATGATTATGATCTGCAAACACAAATTGCCATTCCTACCCTGCAAACACACTTAGATGGACACGACACAATTATGACCTACAAATTGCCACCCATGAATAGTTGACATCAAGAAAAACAAAAAGCTAGCTGTTGTTATGGATGTCTTCGCTTGAAATTGCCAGAAATCGAACCTAACCTTCAATGACATCAAGGTCAATTGCCAGAAATCGAACCTAACCTTCATTGACAAAAAGCTACGTACGTTAAAAAGTATAGTTGCAATCAATTGTGGACCAAACTGAAACTGTTGAGGCAAATTGCCTGGAAGCATTCGGAGACTAAAAAAAAATTGTGGACCAAAGGAATTTAAATGAATTGGGTATAAACGTTAAGTTTAGAAAGGTAAAGTACAAGAAACATCCCGACTTTTTAAAAAAATGTATAAATTCATGTACTTTGAAAAGTTGTACAAATTGCTCCCTCGTTGACAATTTTGACCATTTTTTTTAAAAAAATCCCATAATACCCTTAAGAGAATTATAGGTATTTATTTTTTTAAAAATAAAAAAAATATATTTATATTTTTCTAAGGCACCAACACCAAGGGACTTACCCACTTAAGCCAAATCCTTGATTATATCTTTATATTTTTAAGCATTTATATAAATCAATAGAAAATTTGATTTAATTATTCTCCTTTTACTAACTTAATAACAGTATAAAGAAAATTTAGATTTTCAGATGCATAGACAAATAATTTTCTCCTTTTAAATTCAAAGAGAATTAGCTTCGTCTTGATACTAAATTACTAATTCAATGAACAACCATAGCAAGTAAGAAACTTTTTTGTTTTTTGGTAAGTAAGAAAAATATATAAAAGCAAAAAAAAAACACTATACAAATATATGCTTGGGACATACCCCAAGGCCCAACAAAGAGAGGCCTACTGGCAATGGACAAAAGAAAACCCCAAAAAAACAAAGGCTTATAGCCCAAACAAAAATAGAGACAAAAGGCATATATCTCAAACAAAGTCCAAAGTCCAAACCTAAAATGAAAAGCCCACAAATAGGCCCAATACTTCAAAAGTTGGAACAAAATGTCATTCCAACCATCAGGCGGTTTGGATTGAGGGATTTGGAGAGATAGTAACAGAAAAGAAAGAAAATGATAATATAGATTGTGTTTGGGTTGTTTAAAATGAAATAAATGAAAGAATTATAAGAGATAGCTATTCCTCGATATCCCTTTTATCATATCCTAAAAATGGAAAGATTGGGAGAAAAACGATAGTGGGTTAAGTATTATTTTATAATTTCGAATTTGCCATGCCAAATTAAAGGTTAAATTTGCTTAGGACGTAAGGATGTGTTTCTGAAAATTCGTTTGTTCCTCTCTCTCCACACATGATACTCATAATCTGCCAAGGCAAGTTTTCATGTCATAACTCTGCTCCTTTCCAGCTTCTGCTTCCAATTTGAGGACGCCCATACCAGGAAATCCTTCCATGAGCTCGGATTAGTGTAGAAGCCATATTTTTGTTGTATACCACATTTCATATCACCCTTGTATAGGCACACCGGTGAAAGAGGTGTTCAAGGTCGTCCGCTAAATTTAGGCATAGGGCACATACATTCCGTTGCATTGTAAAATGCAAAGATGGCAAGTAAGGACCTTTGTGCTGTTCTTATATAAATAGGATTTATAAATTTAAGATCAAGAAATACACTCACATGCTCAATCTCACGTAATTTTAAAATATTCCACATTATATATATTTATGCAATTCAGTTATATTACATTTAAGTATCCTTTATTTTGTGAAAATCAAAGAGAATACATGATGGAACAGAGAACTATTCACTCTGACCTTTCGACTTATTTCCTAACTTTATTTCATGACCTTTTATTTAGGCTAGCTGTGCATGCGACTTAATGATGCACACACTGAATGGTTTTGAAATCATGACCATATGATCAGACTCGGCTATGAACTTCACTTCTTTAGGAGGGCTATTCTCAATCATATATTTCTGTAAATCCACTATAATAGATTGATCATCTCCGCTTATTATAAAAACCCGAGTGACCGACCCGTATTTATTCTTTGTCA